GAAATCTTGGCATTAAATGAAAGACCTTCGCGGACTCCCTTGAAAGGCGCTGGGGACCCCCAGGGGTCCGCGGACGACAGTTTAAGAACCACTGCTGTAAGGGAAAAAGAAGTGCATAACTCATCGGTATATTGATTGAATCCGAAGAAGCAGTAAAAAACTTTTTCATTTTCAACACTCACGTAGTCGTATCTGAAGAGCGTAGTTAATTATTTTACTTCCCGTTACTATACAATAACATTATTTTGCAATAACAAGAAAATTATTAAAAATAATTTTTTTCTACTGAAAAAATATAAAAATATTTTCCTCTGTTGGTATTATATTCTTGATAGCAAGCTTATTCAGGTATTTTATCTGTCTTCAATTAAAACAAGTAATAGAAGAAAAAAAATTTAAGTCAATTCCTACTTAGATCAACAAAGAAAAATTTTATTTTAGCTACTTTTTATTAAATAGGTACAATTAATATATATCTGTATATACATATGACAGAATCACAACATGAAGTGGTAATTAATTTTTATTCATTATCACTATGGTATCGTATTGCCATCCAAAACAATCGAGTATGTACAAATTTCAGTTCAACTGAATGCTTTAATATGTGAGGAAAAAAATCTTTTAAAGTTTTGACCCAAGTCACTGAAATTGAAATCAACGTGATTGTATCTGTAATTCTTTAAATAATTAGTTTCAGTCAATCAATTTTAATTAATTGTAATTAAATTATCGTATTTTTACCCAAAACAATAGTGTATAGAAAATTTCAGCTCAAATAAGCGTTTTAAAATGTGAGAAAAAAAAACCTTTTCAAGTTTTGACACAAGTCGCCAAAAGGTTCGCTAATTCGCCAAAAATGATGCCATCGGGGCTGTATTTGTAATTCTTTGAATAATTAGTTTTCATCAATTAATTTTTACTAATTATAATTAAATTACTGTGTTATCATCGAAAATAATCATGTATATAAAATTTGAGCTCAATTGAGCGCTTTAAAATGTAATTTATTATAAAGATTGAAAATTCCACCAAGATAAATAAATAAATATAGAGAGAGTGTGAGCTAGTAGTACGAATTGAAAAAAACTCAGTAATGCTGTATGATTGCCTACCGATTAAATCGTCTCTCTCTCAAAGCGTTTTCTGTCTCATGACACCGTTTCTGCTTAGAATTTTTGTTTTTATTTTTTTAACATAGCCTGTTCTTCGGACACCGTTTCGGCCAATGAAGCGATCGTTTTTATTATATCAAAATATCTGTGCTGTCTTTGAAAACCGTCTCTGATCAGGAAACTATCATCTTTATTGTGTGTGTTCACATAACTTTACCGTGCCTTCGATGCCGTCTTCGCTTAGGATGCTGACTTTTAATTGTGATCGTATAATTTTACCTCTTCTTCAGACACCGTTTCCGCTCGAGAAGCTGACTTTTTTTTTGTGTCGACATGGCTTTACCCTGTCTTCGGACTCCGGCTTCGTTTAGTGTTGCCACTCCTAATAAGTTCAACATCTCCTGTTTTGTATTATTGAATATTTGTTTCGATTTTGTTTATTCTCTTTGAATCTGGCAACAGAATTTTATTTAAGTATGTTTATGGAATATTCTAAAAGTAGTTATGCTTTAAAAAAAATAAGTAAATATTTTATGATACATTGCGCTCATAATCATTATAAAAGCTTATAATTCAAGCTGTAAAATAGCCCAATTTATTCTGCGTGTCGAAGAAAAAGGAATATTGTAATCGAAGAATAGTTTCTCGAGTCACACAACACTTAGGAAGCTTATGTTTTTATTGTATCAAAATAACTAACTTGTCTTTTAACTGTTTGGGATTACGAATGAATTATTGAAATTGTGCTCATTTGATAAAAACTGGTTTATTATTTTAATAAATAAAGTGTAAAGAATTCACTACATATCACTGAAAATAACTAGTGTCTTTGAATTACCTCCATCTTCTTTTAATTGATACTCAAATGATAATTTTTGGTTAAACAATTTCCTTACGCATAGTATCTTTCTACAAAATGAACTTTAAGAAATTCTGGGTAAAATTTAAAAACATTTTTTGCAAGCGTTTAAATATATTGAATACAACATGTATTAATCCCCAAAATTCTCATTTTTTCACTTTTCTTATAGTTTGATATATATAACTTTACTGTTAAATTTTTAAACTAGTGAACTCTTTGAAAATAATTAAGTAAATTAGTATAAATTTTTATATTAGTCAGTAACTATAAGGCTAGGGGAACTGACGCTTTGAGCCTGAATTAATGCTATTAATGAGTAAATTACTTTAATTTTGAGTTAAAATTCTTTAATAAGAAATAAAATAATTTCTTTAACAGTCTTAATACAAAATGCATAGATTATGTTGATAGGTTTCAAATATATTTTAAGATATATTCTTCTACGGGATAGTTAGGGTTCTCTGAAAACACCTATTATTTCTAAGGGTTCCATGAGTCCACTGCCATAGAACAACTCCTGACTTCTGTGCGCATATAAGATAGTGGGCGGTGGATATCCCATATCTATATCACATAGCGTGTGTTTGGGCTGATTGGTTCGTTTATGTTCAACGGGACTATAACCTCCCTCATGAACCTGGCGTGCAAGGAACCGCACCCTTCACGCGGATCGGGCAATCACCGCCAAGCAACTGCTCTATTTGACATTCTCAAAAAGAGTCATCTCTGAACTGGACGCATCTAATCGTCTCACGAATGACCAATCAATCGAAAATGCATTTCAGCTGTCTCGACACATGCAAAACCCACCGTGACGCAGCTAGCTACCTCGCCACGAATAGTGGTTCGTTATCCGCTAATGCGAAACTGGCGGGTGTGAGTTTGGCGGTGGTATGCGGATCCGCGTTACGACGCTTGCGTGATGGTTAACTGCGTTCGAGGTGGAACCCCCTCCTCATAAATCAATCGGTCAGTGTCCCAAATTCATAGCAATAGTGTGTTTAGGCGGCTGATGGCGTTTAGTAAAGGATATTACGTATAAATCATAGCGATGGTTTAATATTCTGTTGAATTCATCGATCTGGATCATCTAACGTAGCATCGAAATTTGTGATTAACGAGTTTGGAATACCGACTTTGAGCTGCCACGCTAGTACCTCGCAATGTGATTTGCTACCATCAATGACTTTCTGGGTGCAGATGGTGTAAGGCGGCCTTCATGTTAAACAGGTGCATAAATGCCTAAGCGTTTTTACATGGTTTATTAATCGATTTCAGATCTATACGAATACGAATTATTTTCCTCGTTCATTTTAAATTAAAAAAAGAATTTTCTTAAAATTACGAAAGTGCTAATTTGAGGCAAAAGGTTCAAGTTCTTAATAATCTATTGAAAGGAATACACCCAAGCTGTAAATTTGATACATAAAACAATTCAGAAATAAAGTACTGTTTTTAGTCGCGACATTTTATCTTGAAAAAAAATTGACAATATAACTAATTAAATCCCTATAAGTTATGTTTTTTGATACAAGTATTTAAACGGAACATTTTAGAGATCACAGTTGGCTTATTTATCCTGAAAATATTATAAGAATTAAAATTTAAATGGTTATTCCAGTCATTCTTATGCGTTATTGGAACATTGTGAAGAAATTTAAATTGAACTTCTGACCTAAATGTTATAATTTCCATTGACTATTCTGGCTTGAGGACTTTTATAGTTATCCATAAAATATATTCAATCTTTTTTTTTAAAAAAAAAGTGTCTCAAAGGAATTTTGCATTAAAAAGGAATCAGGCAATGAAATGAATAGAGTAATTATATTACTTAAAATCATTTTTCTTTTATACTGCTTGAAAAGAAATCATGAGACAAATTATGTTTTAGCGCTACACATGCTCAAAAATGTTTTCCTTTTTTTTTCCCTACATAGAACTGACGTTAACACTTTCAAAGCATAATGAGTAATATTATTTCTTTTTTGACGTTCACCATTACAATAATCGCTTTTTTATCCCATGCATTCACACGATGTTAACCGTTGCGTCAATCAATCTTCGTTGTCTTAAAATTCATTGGTGACAATAATGCCAATAATAAACTCCCTTTTACACGTGAACGTTCAACAACAGGCACGTTGCTCAACGTTAATAAATAGTCACCTGCATTAGAATATGCAAAGCAGAAAAACATTCCGCGATTTCACCTGCTTTTATTTCTTTCGTTGAAAGCATTAAAATTTTCAGTAACACCTGCAGAAACTTTACTCATGTCTGAAGTCTAAGAAAAGGGGAAAGAAGTTACAGTTATTTATTCAGGTTCACCGGATTTCTGTTCCAAATTTGTCACTGGAAGTGATAGTTACTTTTAAACAGACATAAATTCCTTATTCTAAAAATGGATAAAGAAGATAATAGGGCCCTTCTGAAAAGTCCTATTTTTGCTTGCAAATTGGAGACTTCTTTTTCAATTCCTACTATTAGTTCACGTTCGTCCCTATATATATATATATATATATATATATATATATATATATATATATATATATACACATATATTGATTTTGTCGATTTTAGGGAACAAAACAGTAAAAAATTAATTACTGAATAAATAATTAGCATTAATTAATAAAATTAATCATTAATAACAAATACTTAGTTAAATTTTACGTACTATATACTTAGAATTATAATCAATTGGAAAAAAATCAAGGGCTTTTGGGTCGACCCCAGGACCCCTTTGTGTGCTCCACAGATATATATATATATTATATATATATATATATATATATATATATATATATATATATATATGTATAATTTTCAATCGTTAATAAAAAATACTTTTTATACATCCACTCAAGTTCAAATATATATTTTTAAACATGTAGTGGATGACACTTGATGTTATTACAGTTTTATAGATATTAATTCATTAGTTAAATTAAAATTGAATAAAAATAGTAACAAACAAAACTAATAGTCAAACAGCATATATAGAAAGGAAAATCGTTCGTTGTGTCCCTGTAGCGCAATGGGTAGCGAGTTGGATTTCTAATCCAAAAGTCGTGGGTTGGAATCGCACCTGGGATGGCCTAATTTCTGAAAATGTGATTTCTTTTTACCATATCATTTTATTGTAATAATTAAATTTAATTAATGAATAAATAGTAACAATATTTTAATAGTACAATACCATAATAGGACAAAAATAGTAGTCCAACACCAAATATAGAAGGGAAACTGAAAAATGGCAAGGAAAATCGATTTCCATTTTGTCACTTTAATATTGTGATTCTGTCATATGTATATACAGATTTATATTAATTGTAACTATTTGACAATGTAGTCTACCAAATCAAAGATTTTTTTTCCCCAGAAAATTTCCTCGTAGTATGCTAATAATTGTTTCATTCTCTGTTTTGTTGAAAAAATACCTTCTTAGTTGGGGTTTGTATTTTCTAAAATTTGCAACCCTTTTTCAATTCCTACTATTAACTCACACTCTCTCTCTATATATGTGTTTGTTTGTTTATTTATTTATTTATCTTGGTGGTATTTTCAATCGTTAATAAAATACATTTTGAAGCACTCAATTGAGCTGAAATTTTATGCGACATGATCATTTTGGATGACAATACAATAATTTAATTATAATTAGTAAAAATTTATTGATTAAAACTAATTATTTAAAGAATTAGAAATACACAGCCACGTTGGCGACTTAGCAACCATTTTGGCGACTTGAGTCAAAACTTGAAAAGGTTTTTTTTTCTCACGTTTTAAAGCATTCAGTTGAACTGAAATTTTATATACACGATTGTTTCGGATGGCAATAGGATACTTTAATTATAATTAATAAAAATTAATTGCCACTTAACGTTGTGATTCTGTCGTATGTATATCCATATTTATATTAATTGTAACTATTTCCTAAAAAGTAGCTGAAATAAAATTTTCTTAGTTGATCTAAGTAGGAATTGTCTTAAATTTGTTGTTGTTGTTACTTATTCAATTAAACTGATGCCTTCAGTCAAATTCCCAACCGTCATTCGATCTTCTGTTTAAACTGGGTCTAAAAGATTCAAGTTCTTTAATGTCTTGCTCTATTCATATATTTCTAAGTTCATCAATTGTCAACACCTGGTTGTGGTTATCCAGTAGTTCTTGAACCTTATAACTATTCATTTCGAAATTTATTTGCATGTCAAGATCTGCAACTTCTTCAAAACATTACCAATTTTATCAGGCTCTGGCACTGATTCCGCCTGAATTTCAGTGACGAAAAAATAAAAAAGATGAATCGACGATATTTGAAATTTGCGTGACCCCGGTTCGCGTAAGTCCAGGTATTATTGTATAGCCTTTAAGGTATCCGACTACGTTCGGAACCGTGATTTTGCAAAAGCATGTAAATGGATAATATTTATGATGTTTAGTGTCACTTAGATTAGAATACATGTATAAAATTGTTTTAAGGACATTATGACAAAAAAAAATTATTTAAATTCAATATTTAGGCAAAAAATTAACTTAGAATAACCTTTTTTTCAAATGTTCTCCTTTTGTAAAAAAATGCTTCTATTGTATTAATATTTTGCCTGTATTCAGCTCAGACCTCTGTACAGAGGCTCAACTGGAATTTTTGAAACGCATAACTTGGAAGTCGGTTCATCCATGTTTAACGAAAACAGAAACGAGAAATTTTAAGAAAATACGCCGATAATTATTTCAAATTTTTGTAACTCTGAAAATAATCTGAATTTTTCAAAATTCATAGTTGAGCCGCCTCGGTACAGAGGTCTGAGCTATATACAGGCAAAGTATTAATACAATAGAAGCATTGTTTACAAAAAGAGAACATTTGGAAAAAAAGTTATTCTAAGATAATTTTTTCAAAATATCGTATTTAAATAAATTTTTTTTTATCAAAATGTCCTTAAAACAACTTTATACATGTATTCTAATCTAAGTGACACTAAATATCATGAAAATTATACATTTATGCACTTTTTTTAAAATCATGGTTCCGAACGTAGTCTGATACCTTAGAAATTTCAAAAATATTCCGTTAATGCTTATTTCCTCATTTTAGCACGTAGAAGGGATAGCTCATTTATGAGCCTTAAAATATATGAAACCTATTTTAGACCAGAAAAAATAGATTCTGGTAAAAACGAGTAGTACGATGAAATATTTAAATTACATAAACATGTATATATGCATGTATTTAATAAAAAACAAAGTAACAAAAACATTCACGAGATCTAGTATCGACACGTTCGGAACCATTGATTTTAAAAGGCATAAATGGATAATTTTCATGATATTGAGTGTCACTTAGATTAGAATACATGTATAAAATTGTTTTAAATACATTTTGACAAAAAAAATTTATTTAAATACTATATTTTGGCAAAAAATTAACTTAGAAAAATCTTTTTTTCAAAATGTTCTCCCTTTATAAAAAATGCTTCTAAAATAATAATATTTCGCTTATATAAAGTAAAGACTTCTCCAGAGAGTCTGAACAAGGAGTTTTGAAAAATTCACATTATTTTCAGAGTTATCCCCAAATGAAATAATTATCGGCGTTTTTTTCTTAAAATTTCTCCCCTCTGTTTTCGTAAAATAGGGATAAACCCACTTCTAATTTATATATTTCAAAAATTCTAGCTGAGCCTCAGTAGAGAGGTCTGAGCTATATACAGGCAAAATATTATTATAATAGAAAAATTTTCCACACAAAGGAGAATATTTTGAAAATGGGTTAGTCTATGTTCATTTTTTGTCAAAATATTTTACTTAAATAATTTTTTATTGTAATACTATTCTTTAAACATTTTTATATACATTTTCTTATCTAAGTGACACTAAATATCATAAATATTATCCATTTATACGCTTTTGCAAAATCACAGTTCCGAACGTAGTCGGATACCTTAAGGAAATTTAATACAATATTTTCAGGTTTTTTTCAAAAGCAAAACATTTATTCAGTTTTTTGGAAAATAATATGATATTTTTCTTTACGTTGTCTTTTTTAGCATCAAATTGTCAAAAAATTGTTCGATGTTGTCCTTCATTCAAATGTGCGTCTAAATAACAGAGCATGTGAGGACAGGAGCTGCATTATTCATTTCATTTTCGCCGTCGAAATCTGCATCATTGACATTTTTTGAGTTTTGAACAAACTCCAAAATGTCATTCTTTTATTGTGGCTGCACACACTTTATCGTCATTTTTTGTCACGAATTCTTCCTATGATACATTCAGATAGTCCAATAATACAGTTTGTAAGGGCGAACCCCCTTGGGAGCCCTTCTCTTAGATTATCAGCGTGATCTAGAGGTGTAGGATTAAATGAAGAACCAAACGCTGCCATAATCTTAATATTACTGTATTAGGATCTTAAACCAATAACACAGATTAGGTAATAATATGATATGTGAGAGAATCTACGGTGGCGAAACACACAATCTATAATACCGAAATAACGTAACCCAGACCCCTATCAATAACTAACTTGCCTAAGCTCAATTTCAATGTAAACACAGATCCGAATATTAAAATGGTAACTCCTACCTTAACGTCCAACGAAGCAGCAATCTACCGGATCCTAACTGAAGTTGCGGTTCACTGACGTGGAATTGTTTCCACCTTGACTAAAGGCTCTCTGTCACGGGTAACCTCTCTTGACTGTCACTTAACTTCTCGAGATACTCTTCACACTTGCAACACGGACTATCGTAACATTCCCCAAATGACACACCACTTACTCTAAACTTCTGTTATTTTAAAGCTTCCTATTTTGCATCTTTCATTCACGTTTTACTTCTCGGGTTGGTTGGAAAAGAATTGCCATTTCTTTTGGCCCCAAAGAACCCAAAAGGACATGTTAGTGAAAAAACGCGTGAGCCCGTCACAAGTTACTTTCCCAAACATTTCATTAACCCTCTAAGTGGTCTGCACTTAAAGTCTTGCCATTCTGGAGATGCTTCAAAAATGCACCGCACATATTTTTTTGCTTTCAGGTGGGGTTCTCAAAAGCGGTTCAGCCGCGGCTCGGCCGCTTTTAGGAATCTTGCTTGAAGGCAGAAAAATCATCTCTGGAATGGCGGAATTTTACGTGCAGACCGCTGGGAGGGTTAAGTGTGTGATACCGCCCCCTTTGGCGACCGTATCTTTGATTGTCAGCGTGAGCTAGAGGTGTAGGGTTTGCAAAAGGAATAGACATTTTTGATTCTTAATATGTCTTTATTAAGAATAGAACTTAAATGTCTAACAATTTAGATAAATTTAAATAAGCGAGAATCTATAATGAACAGACACACAGTAATAGTTAAACCGAATCGCGTAATTTAGACCACTTTCTCTAAGTTATAATTATTTAATCCGCCTACTCTCACTTCTAATAATATTACAAGTCCTAATATCAAATAATCATTCCTACATTAATCCAAACTTAGATTCAATCTTTATGTGGAAACGCCTAGGCGCGCGTGCAATGGTATGCACCTTGATTTAATAGTTTACTTTCCAGGTAACTTCACGATTGGCTGTCAATTCACGCTTGTATCTCTTTCACACATAACATTCCCCAAATTGCCATACGACTTTCTGAAACTTCTGTTATTTAAAAGCTATCTTATTTGCATTTCTTTTTCACATTTCGCTTCTTGGGTTTTGGTTGGAAAAGAGTTGCCATTAATCTTGGCCACCAAAGAACCCAGAGGTTATGTTAAAGAAAAGAAGCGTGAGCCCGTCACAAGTGGCTGGTATTTTCCGTATTTTGTTCATTCCTAGATGAGAAATCTTTTCGTATTAAGTGATGCACGTTTCGTGTTGCTTGAAAACACGTAGCAATTTGTCGGACCGCTGTATTATTTCTTGTTAACCGATATTTCGTCTTAAGGTATCCGACTACGTTCGGAACCGTGATTTTTCAAAAGCGTATAAATGGATAATATTTATGATATTTAGTGTCACTTAGATTAGAAAATGTATATAAAACTGTTTTAAGAATAGAATTACAATAAAAAATTTATTTAAGTACAATATTTCGGCTAAAAATTAATTTAGAATAAACGTTT